CAGGTGATATTTCAGATACGCCCACTGTCCTGGACGCAGTGGGTGGTGGTTTTGAAGCTGTCGCTTCCTGTCATCTTGATGGATGAGGCCCTCAAGTTACTGGCCCGCAACTACATCGAGCCAGGAAGCCACATCCAGGTCAGAGCAAGCGATGTCAGCAGGTTGTCTCACCGTAACACGTTTCTTTTCTAACGCTTCTCTATTCACATCTCCCAAAGACTTTAGAAGAGGAAGAGGAGCAGCAGAGGGCGAGGGCCAACGTGGGGTTGGTCGGTGCTGCGGCGATGAGGCTCCATCAGTCGCTTAAGGGCGTGTCCTGGTCCTTCGTGCTGATCTCTGCACCGCTGGTGATCTGGATCTTCAGTCTGGACTCTGACATCACCAACATCTTCTGGGAGTGACGGGGATGTGGGTGGGCTGCCGGGGACGCACAAACACGGTGAAGGAAGGGAAAAGGGGTGTGGGAGGTGTAAGGGTGGGGCGTGGGGAAACGAGGCACGAGCAGAGGTGATGGATGTGACGAAGGAAACATGTGACCCTCAGACAATCAGAGAGAGTGTGTGTGTGACAGCCTCACCGATGAAGGCGCTGCGTGCAGCTGATCTGCTTTGAGTTCACACTTCCTCCCACGTCCCTGCTGTGTCGCCACACCCACAGACACGTCACGGCTGTGGTTTCTTTACAATCTTCCAAAGAGGGCTGTTGGTTTGTGTGAACTTGGATTTATTCTTTCATGTAATTTGAAATAGAGAGAAATGTTAGTGTTTGAGGTTTGGTGCATGTGTGTAGTTTACAGTGTGTGTTGGTGTTTTCCATATTTCTCCTGACATTCCCGGGTCCCTGCTGCGCCGATGCTACCGTGCTTCACGCAGCACTTTTATGAGGAAACGAGTGGATTAGAAACACACAGGCTCTCCATCCACACTGTTGTTCACGTAGTAATAATGTGCTCCGCGATAAGGCCGCCTGCCTCTGGAGCAGCAGAGTCCGCCAGCCGGCTGCTTTCATAGTCTGCACTGTTGTTTGGATGTCCTCACGTGAAACTAATCCGAGCCGTGAGGACGGCTAGCGTTTCAAATGCATGTGAGTGCACGTCACACACTTTGAGTTTTAAAGTTGATCCTGCAGAAGCGTCTCCCTGCAGCCGGGAGTGAACCTGATGAGGATGCACACATTTATCAGAGGCTAACCCTTCTAGCATATACGATTGATTCTGATGGCCGACTGTCCTCTGTTGTCTTTTCTGAATCGATGCCAACACTGCTGGCTGTCCTGAAGTTGACGTGGCATTCGTTGGCTCGTCTCAGACAGGCTGAGGGCAGAATAAGTTCTTCAGTTAACTGGTGTTCAGTACGGCTGTGCTGCCAGTCGGCCTCTACCTGACGCGCTTTCCCTGCTTTGTGTGTGATTGATTTGGTTCTGGATGTCAGGGATTCATGTGTTTCTTTCAGGTCGGTCCTCCCTCCTCCAGAGCAGCCGTGTCTGTGTTGGTGAACGTCACAGTTTCAGTTTGATGTGAACACAGATTTGAACGAGGGTCTGCCTTTTTGTCCAGCGATGCCATGAAGTCTTGAACTTGTCATTATGTAACACATGCAGCCTTCATTGAGAGGAATATCATTACTGAAGGACAGGAAGAGTTAGAGAGTAGCCCTAATGTTCTGACATCGTCATTTTGTAGAGAA